ATTCTCTATAAAGAAGAAAAAGAAAAAAAACAGAAACATATAATAGAAATCTCTCGTTTCTTACTTTCAGAATATTTTTTTTTATCGAAGTCTAATTCTGAAATATTTATTCGATCGAATGCTGCATTGCCACATAAGTGTTCTTTAGTCGGTGCTGTTCGACTATAATCAAGTAATTAACGACTGAATAACAAATTAGTATCAACTCCATTCGTAACTATTGATTCATTTTTAACAGTATGTGCCACAATCATAATTGCATCATTTCATGATCGTTGAGCTTCATTAATAAATTGTTTAGCACCAGACCATGGGCAGATACTTCACAAATAGCGAGTAGTTCTTCAGATTGTTCATTCAAATTTTCAATAACTATTAATATCGCATCACCATATGTTTTTTTGTGTACACTTAAGATTATCTTCATGTGAACGTTCACTAGAAAACATATCTTTATTCAAATCTAAATATTTAGAAAATGAGTTAAGTTTAATTGCTGCAGGACCATGTTTTTTTGTGGATTCTCAGCTGAAAGAAGATACAATTTTTCAAACGGACACAGAGCTTCCTACTCAAAGCATGAGAAAGATAGAAGTAGCTGTTTCGATACAATACGAAAAGTTGTCGAATGATTTCCTCGAGATCGAAGACAAAAAAAAACTTGGTCCTGCATGTCATCTATACTCCATGGTTTTCCGAAAAAAGTCGATATTTTTTTCAATAAAATTGCAAATTGTGCAGTAAAAAAGAGTTGGTATTGAAAAGTTCTCTATTGAATAGTATACTCGATATTTCAAAGTCATTTTTCACCGTAATTCGATCTTACCAGGAAAGTTGTTCAGATCATGCATCGTGTTTCAGAATGAAAAATCAAGCAGATCTAAAAAACACTGATTTTCAAATTTCTGCTCGAGCGCTATTTATGATCAAAACCTCAAGTACGAACATCATACATATTCGGTTGGTTATATGGACATAAAAAAAGAACTTATTCTCGTTGATATCAGTTGCAATACAAGATTTCAACTGAAAATTGTGTTTTTGTGTTATCACGAAATTCATTTAAAAAAATGAGATACTATGTATAAATATAAATATTTTCAATAAAGTAAAATTTCATTTAAAAAAACTATTACGAAAAAACATTCCCTCCAATTTATGTGTATGCCATATTCGTCCCTGTAGTGGCCTTCGATGTTTGAACTGCTGATTTTCGTAATGGAATTGTTTCATGAACACGAAATTTTAAACAATTCACTTGACTTGTCGCTTTTACAGCATTAATATTAACAACTGGTGGTTTCCAAACAGCTGTAATAAAATTATCATTAACATCTTCATGTATATATTATATCTATGCCAAATCAAATATGATCTAAAAATAAGCAAAGAAAAAAAAACGAGAAAAAAATATCATAAAAATCTTGCGGCTTTTTTACTTCCTTAAAGTTTATTTATGAAATATTTGTTGCATGAAATCTTGAATTTTCACCTAATTATCTTTTGCTATAACTTGAAATGATATTGCGCATGCATCTATAATTAATTGTTCTTCATCCAATACTGTTCGAGTATAATCATAGTAAGGGATGACTTAATGCCATTTTAATGGCATCTCCACCTGCAATAATTGAATCATTTTAAACAGCATATCCGTGGTACAATCGTAATTCCGTCATGTATGAAATGTACGTTCAACGTCGTCAGTAAATGATTCAGAATCACCACGTAAAATCATTCTTGGCGTTTTAGCTTGAGAATAATCATTAGAAATATTATAACGTTCAGCACAAAACATGTCTATATTAAAATGTAAATATTTAAAAATGACTCAAATTGTCAACAACTCGAAAATTTGAAGAAAGGTTTTTTTTGGACATGATACGAAAGAACTTATCGAGTTCCTTTTAAAGTTGTAGCAGCACATTTTTTGTGGATTCGAATTTGAAAAAAGATAAAATATTGCGTCCGAGCATGAAGCTTCGAACTGAAACGTTGAGAAAGATTGAAGAAAGCGTTTTCAATCTGATACGAATAAGTTCTCGTATGATGTTTGTTACAGTAGAACCAGATAAATTTGGTCTTGAATTTCTGTACCGAGTAGGCTCAATATTTGACATTACTCGTACTTTAGGAAAAATCGATTTTTTTCTCGACAACTTGGAAATCTGTATAAATGCAGGTTCGTGTTTAAAAATTTTGTATCGAATAGTATACTTCATAGTTGAAAAGTAATTTTCGATGGAAGTTCTTCCGCTAATGAATTGCTTTTCCGTCGAAAAAATCAAGCTAAGGAATTAATCTTTGAATTTCGACTAGAAACTTAGCGCGAGTGTATTCATACGTCAATTTTCAGGTACAAACATAAGATCTAGCCGTTTATGTGAGAGATTTAAAGCAATCCCAAAAAAAACTGTTCTCGCTAAGATCTGTTCCTATGCAAAATTTGAAATTGAAATTCATTTGAAAAAGTAAGCTAATAAACGCGATGTTGATTTATCTGTTCGTGAACTTCTCTCATTAAAGAGTGATCATCTCTAGTATTCAACAATGGAAAAATTTTTTTTTTCGGATTTCAAATTGATGGCGTTAATAAAAGTAGATCATTTGCCGATCAGACAAATATTGTGTTCCAACATTGCTAATATGGAATGTTTCAAGTTTCATTGTAAATTATTAATCATTCGGCATCAACCATGTTTTCAATATTCCGACATATAAATACAAATACTTTCAATGAAGAAAAATTCAATTAATAAAACAAGCAAAATTTTTACCAAAACATTATCAAGAAGAACGTTAGTATTATCGCGTTCAGTTTCCTCATATTCAAGTTCAATATTAAGTTTTTAAGGTGATAAAGTTGTTTTTTAAATATAACACCTACAGCAGCAAGTCGTGGATTCTAAATAATTCCAAAAATAAAACAATAAATAAGACGAGAAAATAAGAGATCAAATCGACTAACAAAACTGAACTCGCCAAAATTCTCATGTTGTTCATTTAATAGTCCTTTTAACCTATATTTAGAAGATTTCGATAAGAAAAAGTTGAATTTATGTGCAAATTCATACGATATCTGAAATCGGCATAAGAGCCTAAATTGATTTTAAAACTTTTCAGAACTCATTTTGTTTTATTAAAAACTTATGCGGAGAATACTTTTGGCCTAGGTTAGAGGTATGTTCAGATTTCCGAAAAAGTAATTTTCCGAAATTACCAAACCATCACTCATAGCATCTCTACAGACTCATACACAACAACAGAGAATTCTGGAAAAGCCCAGTAATTACCATTCCGTCAGAAAGAATTTTCCCAAATTTCAAACAAATGACAACCAAACTTCCTGGAAATTTCGGAAATTACCACCACAACATAACAGAAATATCTCGGAAACTTCAGTAATTATCCATATTATTCCAGGAAACTACTAGATAATTTCCGTAAATACCGAATCGACCGATGGAAATTTATCAGCAATAACGCAAACTAAGAGCAGATGCGGACGAAATTACCGAGAAATTTCCATAAATTCCATTTTTCCTCATAAAGATGTAATAACATAGATATAGATTTAAGGATCTCTATCTAAAAAAGTTTAACAGTTTTTGGTAATTACCGTAATTACTAGGAAATCTTGGTAATTACGGAAATTTCTGTAATTTCTTTTTTTATCATATAGATATAATAATAGAGATATAGATTTAAGGATCTCACCCTCAAAAAGTATAAGAATTTTTGGTAATTTCTTTTTTTATCATATAGATATTGTGATGGATATATAGATTTAAGGATCCCTACACTGAAAAGTAGAAGAATTTTTGGTAATTACGGTAATTACCAAAAATTCTTATATTTTTAGAGGGTAGGGATCCTTAAATGTATATTTGTATTATTATATCTATATGATAAAAAAAGAAATTATGGAAATTTCCGTAATTACCAAAATTTTGCTAGTAATTACCGAAATTTGTGAAGAAAATTCTTCTCATTTGTTAAAGCAACTTGAAATTTTGTGCAATTTCCATTGTGGTTTAGATGTAAATTGAGTAATTTCTCAGGAATTATTGAATCGGAGCTAATATATATGGAAAAGTTCGTGGTAATTTTGTCCGCGTGTATTCCCATTTTCTGTAATTACTGATAAATTTCTTTCTGTGAAGTTTCTATTTACCGAAATTATCTGGTACTTTCATCCTATAGTATGAGTAATTACGAAAATTTCCAGAAAATTTCTTTTGTGATGTGAACGTAATTTCCGAAATTACCAGGAAATTTCTTTATTTTGCTTATGGTTGGTTGACAATAGGATTGCAGTAGTTACGATAGCATCTGATATTTTCTAAAACTTGCATTTTGCATGGTTGCAATTTTCAAAATATGAATATTTAGCAGAGAGATTTCCTTTTTCGGAAATCTGCCCACTGCAGAAAAGGCATCAATCTAAACTCTCATGAAACGCACTACATCTATATCGGACAATCAGAAAATACATTATCGAATGAAAAATGAGCAATGAGATTTTATTATGTGCATACAGACGGAACAAATGAAATAGCAGAAAACATTGGCTTGTCTTTTTTTCATCTTTGTTTTTGTTTTGACAAGCTGCTTCCTTTTCTAATGAAACTCGAGACAACAACAACTAAAAAGAAAAACAGTGTGAACAAACAATAAAGCATTTTTAATTCTATTTATAATTTGTTTTCTTTTTTATCTATGGAGATATTGCAATCTTTTTTGTCTTTTTCGTTTCTCGTTCTTTCTACCATCATGTTACATGTATGTGCATAAATCTTGCTGGGGAACACTGTTAAAATAAAAGGACTAACGCTTGAGATAAGAAGCCCTTCAAGTCGATAACAACTGGCTCAAAACAAACGAGTGTCAACATAAAAAGGAAATACGAACGAAAATATATTTAGAGAGAGAAACGTTTTTTTTTATTTGTTTACAACATAACAACTGTATCATTGTTACCACCAACACTATTACAATCGATGGGCAACGAAAGTTTAAAACCAAGTGCTAGTGGTTCGTCTTCCACGACAGTCGAAGCCAAAAAATCTTCATCATCATCAGAAGCCGCTGCAACAACAACAGCACCGGTAAGCAGAAATGCGCCGCCTCGCCGACCTGTACGTCGGATTATTCAAAACTTCCTTCTCGTCTGGCTCGATGGCAATATTGACGAGACCAAGGAAGATTTCAAAAATTCATTAAAAACTCTACGACATGTCGTGGCATCCATTACGACGTTTACGGATGCGCAAGAATGTTTCGAATTTCTTGGCGAAATTAAAACAGAAAAAGTTTTCATGATGGTATCGGGTTCAATTGGACAAAAATTTGTACCCGAGATTGAAACATTGCCACAATTAGACTCGATCTATGTCTTTTGTGGCAACAAATCATTTCATGAGCAATGGGCCAACAAATTCTGGAAGGTCAAAGGAGTTTACACAGATATTAAACCAATTTGTCAAGCACTTGAAACCGATCGAGAACGATGTGACCGAGCTATGGTTTCGATGAGTTTTAACGGTCTAGATCCGCTGTTCATGTATACGCAATTATTAAAGGAAGCACTTTTGGAAATCGAGCACGAAGACGCAAAATCAATTAAAGACTTTGTTGAATATTGTCATCTTCAAAATGATATTGACGAAGATGAAATCAATAAGGTCGAACTTGAATATCGCCGTCATTCGCCGATTTGGTGGTACACAGCGCCCTATTTTATGTATTCGGTGCTTAATCATGGACTTCGACAAATGGATGTCGACATAATACTTAAAATGGGGTTCTTCATTCGTCACTTAGACAATCATATCGCAGAATTACATCACGAACAACAAGACACCGTGTCAGTCAAATTTCAAGTCTTTCGTGGGCAAGGTTTGTCCATGGAAGACTTTGAAAAAATGAAAAAAACAAAAGGAGGACTTATGTCTTTTAATAATTTCCTTTCGACCAGTCGCAATCGCGCAGTCTCATTGGAAAATTTTGCACGGCCACCCACACGGAATACCACTTCGGTTGGCATACTCTTCGTTATGACCATCGACACGGCGATTTGCATAAAATCATCGACATCTTTCGCCGAAGTCAGTAAAGTTAGCTTCTTCGGAGGTAACGAAGAAGAAATCATTTTTTCAACACATACAATATTTCGCATCGAGCACATTGAACAAATTCATGACGAGCATACAGATCGGCTATGGCAGGTCAATCTCGCCCTCGCAGGTAATCAAGATGATGATTTCAATAAACTTACGGCACACATACGCGAAGAGGTCAACTTAAAATCACTAACACGAGGAGTGCCTCAGCTAGCTTTCATACTTCTTAAACTGGGTGAGCCTGCAAAAGCTGTAAATCTCTACAGCTCACTCCTCCCAAAGACAACTTCTGACATGGATCAAGCGGATTACAATCATAAACTTGGCTGGGCGTATAATGATATGGGCGAGTACTCGAAAGCACTTTCATCGTATGAACGATCACTTGAAGTCCGAAAAATAGTTCTCCCTCCGAATCATCCCGATTTGGCTACTTCCTACAACAACATCGGTTTGGTGTATGATAATATGGCCGAGTACTCGAAAGCACTTTCATCGTATGAACAATCACTTGAAATTCGGAAAATAGCTCTCCCTCCGAATCATCCTGACTTGGCTTCTTCCTACAACAACATTGGTAATGTGTATTATAACACGAGCGAGTACTCGAAAGCACTTTCATCGCTTGAACAATCACTTGAAATTCGGAAAATAGCTCTCCCTCCAAATCATCCCGACTTGGCTTCTTCCTACAACAACATCGGTAATGTGTATTATAACACGAGCGAGTACTCGAAAGCACTTTTATCATATGAACGATCACTTGAAATTCAGAAAATAGCTCTCCCTCCAAATCATCCCGACTTGGCTTCTTCCTACAACAACATCGGTAATGTGTATTATAACATGGGCGAGTACTCGAAAGCACTTTCATCGTATGAACGATCACTTGAAATCCGGAAAATAGCTCTCCCTCCGAATCATCCCGACTTAGCTACTTCCTACCTCAACATCGGTTTGGTGTATTCTAAGATGAACGAGTACTCGAAAGCACTTTCATATTACGAAAAAGCTCAAGAAATCTGGAAAAAGTCACTGCCTCCAACACATCCACATATTGCCCTGGTGAAAAGAAACATTGATAAAGTGAAAAAGAAAATGTAATTGTTTTTTATTTTAAAATGAGAAAATAAATTGTCCATCTTGAAGACTTGGCTCGCTGAAGGGCAGCAGCTGCAAAATTTCGCGCGCCCGCGACAATGGATACCCTCCGTATTCCATTGGCTTGTACAGTGGACAAAGCCGGCAATGGTTAGACAAACATACATCTATGTATGTATGACTACACTGAAAAAAAGGTTCTCTGGAGAACTAAAAGGATTCCGTGGTACTTTACTATACTTGAAAAGGTTTCATTCGCACAGACGAAACCTCAAAAGAGTTTAGTATCATGTACAGTTTCGTAAAAAACCTGTTCAAGGTTTAGTATTCAAAAACGTTTCTTGATAAACCTTTTCGGGCATCGAAAATCGAAAAGATTTTGTGAAATACTACTCTTCAAACTTCATTTCAAAATATGAGCATTAAAGTAGCCATACCTGCTCGATCTTCGTTTCTGATCGAGTGGAGTGGAAATCAATCATTAATTAGTTCACTGCTAATCATATTCTGCATTGAGTAAAATATTTCAAATATGCAGTAGTCAAAACAAATCGAAATGGTCGAAGTGCTTAAGATTATCAAAAAAGATTACTGTAATGCAATTTCTAATCGCAATAAAAACTAATAGCATACGTTCTCTGTTGGGGAGCCCAAGTACATTCGCTTAAGTGAAGGCGTTAAACAAAGATATGGGGATATTTTGGGGGTTAGATTAGGACTCAGGTAGTAAGTTGGGCATATAGATTTCCATAAGGGGATTAGTCGTGGGGTCAGATTAAGGTTGATGCGATCCGTTAGAAGGTTAGATTTACATTAAGGGGGTACATTAATCGCTATCTAAGAACAATCCGTTTCCTGGAAAACCAAAAGCACTCTGAAATCCATTCGGTAACCTTTAGAGATTTGAGAGATGGTGTTCGGACGCTACCAACGCTCTTGTAAATATCTTATTGGTTGCCGAGAGTTCGAAAACAATTACGTTTCCTAAAAAACCGATTTCAACACTCTTAAAGTATTTTGGAATCTCTTTTTCTTGATATTGGAAACCTAATCGTATTTTCAGAAACCGTCAGGGTAATTTGAAAACTTATATCGTCAAAAAATTAAGTCCAAGTCTTATGAGGCATGCGGGGATATCTTTTCGGCTTCTGAAATGCTGCTCAGGCAAACCAAAGAGTTTCCGAGTATACTCAATCTCGAAAGCGTATGATAACGAGCCGAAAACCGATCCTGAAGTTTTATCTGATACAACGATAGGTTTCTAAAGCTTTCAATGTTTTCAGAATTTTCCAGAGAAAGGCAGAGATCACAGCCCTCAAACCTCTCAAAAGAACATTTCAGTACTGCAATTTTTCTTTTACATCTTCGCCATTGCTCAGCTTCAGATTTATTTATTGAACTGAAACTGCTCACAACATTAAGTAAAACTGATTTGATCAATAATCTTCCCTTCTATGAACCATTTTACTTTTCCAATCTGAAACCATTTTAATTCGATTCAAATAACGTTCTGTTATCTTTACGTTCTTGAACTGTTCTCGATCTCGAATACAATTCGATATGGTCCAAATGGTAATTTACAATTCAATCATAGCAAACTTATTTATTTTAGCACTATTGTTGACCTAGAACACTTAGCTATAAGATTAATTACTGTCAATTCTTTTAGAGTGAAAAATTTTCACGTATTGGAATATGGTTCTTTTTTTAACAAAAATATGGCAGTTCATCGATGACTTTTTTATCGATTTCGACATATAAGATACCGATGATAGTTAAAAGCAATAATTATTAATAAATTCCAAACACGTAATTAATTGATACTTCACGATAAGAAACAAGAATTTTATTGTCGATGTAATTAGAGAATGTGTATATTTATCTTTTTTGTTTTATTGTAGTTCAGATGAAAAACAACTATGATGATTTATGAGATTTCATTGAATATCAGTTATGCATATCGTTTTGTCTCAAATCAATCTTATATAACTTTCGTCAGTCATGAATATTTTGAATTAAAAAAGAAGATACATATAAATTCTCTATCAGACTGTACTGGCCCGTAAAATTTACTAATTACAACAATTATATCAAGAATTGATTACGATCAATTGTTGAAGTTATATTTCTGACATGTAACTGAACCATTTGATTATTTATATTCATTTAGTATATCTAATAATAGATATGATATTGCTACAGACAAAGGACTAGAGAACACTGAATCATTTTCGAATTTACGATTGGCTGATTGACTATATCCAGTGTAGTGGACTTCGCAAGCCTCCGTACTCGCTTTACCTTTATTGATTACGTTACAAAAATCTGACTGAAGTCTATGCTTACTTTTCCAGTTCATCTCTCACAAATTATTCTAAACTTCAATATTTTTTTTCTTGAATATAATTAAATCTTAACTATTGACAGTATTAAGAACAACATCACTCATAACGACACTTAAGACCTCGACGCGCGAAATCTTTTCTATGTTTATTTTTTTGTATCAGCAAAAAAAACAAAAATGAAACTAACCGTTGTTGATTATTTTTGTTTTCTTGCAGTATACCTGGATTTGATTATTGTCTTTCTTTTCTCTTCTATTTGGAGAGAAAATTATATGGAAGAGCAGGAGAAAAAAAAATAACGAACAACAACACGTGCTATCATAATTTCGCTTTTCTAGTAGTGTTGATTCATTTGTTCGAATAGATTTTATTATTATAGATAAACTTCTTAAATTCTCTATCAATTGTTTTAGTATTATTGTTTTAATCAGGAATATGTTACTTGGAAATATTCGAGAAGATCTTCATCCGAACTGTCGAACAAGTCGTAGTGTACCTCATTTAACACCATCATTTTCAATGAAAGATGCAATAATAAACCCTCTAACCTCATCATCAACAAGTACTCGAACTTCAATTGAACCACAACAAACAATGATGAATTATGCTCGCATGTCATATTGTTACACGACTGTTTGTCAAAACTATATTGTGTATTTTGAATTATTTATTTATTTTTTTGTTAATAGGCTACATTACTTTCTATGCGTCCACAATCGGATATAACTATTTTTCCTGATCATCTTGTTGAACAACGTTTTCTCGAGTAAATTTAAAAATAAAAACGGAACCAATCTGTTGCATTTTCAATTATATTTTTAGTGATGAAAATTATATTGATCTTGATCGAATGTTAGCTGAAAAAGGTGGTAAATTTCGATTGGAGTCATATGGTATACGTGATGGTGCCGGCGATGGACCTATAATACCAACTAGAATACATAAATATGATTTTTCTGATCCTATTGTTATTGAAGTAAACCTTTCTTTTTCTTTGTTTTGATTAGTTTTTCAATCAAAATTTAATTTAGAAGGTAAAAAATCGTCGTCCAAAAGATCCATTAACACCTCATCAAGTAGCTGCATTAACATCAGTTGTAACACGTCATCAAACATCAACATTGCCAACACTATTATCATCACCTCATCAAATTCAATCATCACATGTTTGGGTTGATGATTATAGTCATCGACAAGCACAATTTGAAGATAATAAGCATCGATATCATATGTCAACGCAATCATCAATGCCTTATCAAAGACAAAATCCAAATCAATGTGAAATATATACAAATCAAGTTAAATCTCTTTTGCCTAATTATCGATCAAATGTGGAACAAAATACAAATACTGTTCCTATTTTACAACGTTTATTTCAAGCTCAACAACGTCAACAGTTAATTTTTGTATCTTAATTTTATGAAAATATTTTTTTTTTTACTTTATTTACAGAAATGAACAACGTAAAATTAATATTAGAAATCAACAATCATCATCATTGGTTAATACTCCAATGTCAACATCAGAACATTATCAAAAAGGTTTATCTGCATTTTGTTCACCAGTATCACCAGAACAATCAAATTCATATAATACATTTGCATGGCCCTTTTCTATGGGTCAAAATCAAAAAGTACCATTTGTTTTATCGTTCTTTCTTGTCTACTTTTTTCATTAATTAGTCTGTAACACATCCATTGCATATACCTATGTCAACTCAGACTACTGTCAAAAAAAATCAAGTAATATGTTTATATTAATTAGTTATTTTAGAAAAAAAATTAGTCGAAACTTATTTCTCGTCCAACCAACATTGCATATTCGTTCATTTTTCAGCCATTAAAGACAAACGGCTTGAGCTAGAATCAGAATTTTTCAATATTTCCTTAATCTGTGCCTTAAAACAGTTTCAACTTAACATTTTTGTAGAGTACAGAATTTTGTAAAAAAATGAGATATTACAAAAAGCGAACTGTCATCTATGCGTTTCAACTAAAGAGTTCGCTTCTTTGAAAATCAGCAATAGTACAAAAAATCGTTATTTTAAAACTGTTTTTTAAAAATTCGAAAGTTTTAAAATCTATCATGAAAAAATAAATAGCACGCTTGATAGAGCAAACTTTGTTCTACCAAACTAAACTACGAACAACCGTTTCGTATTTTGAATAGCTGACTAACCTTACCACCGTCTGAATTTCTGAAGACATTATACAAAAAAAGTGAAAAGATCTGATTCTAACTAACTGCTTCCGCACTTAACCCCAACAGTCTTTAGGTGATCGAAAAATAAATCAGTCTTTTGTTAAATAGGTCACACGTAAGAAACTACCGAAAGTAGATATTTTGAAATTTTTTTCTTTTCATGGTAGAGATGAAATCAATATTGATCTAGTTTATTTATTGTTCTGTATTATCTCGAACGTCGTCTATATTACTTAAAGTCATTTTTTGCTTCTATTTTATTTAATGTTGTCGATCATGATCACTCGTTTTAGATTTGAATTTCGGATTCTTTTTTTATAAAATTTAAAATTTCTATTAGATCGAGTTCTTTTATAAAATTACGGTCAGAAAATCTTACTAATATAATTTCAATCCTAAAAAAAAAACTTGTCATATTCATCTTTAAACTTCACTCTGTCGAATAAAGAAAACTAT